CCAGTTCAGCAGGGAACCCCCCTAGATGCTATGTTGAAAATGAACTATACAACTGGAGGGAGAGGAACGTTAGGAGGGGAAAAACTGGGAGGATGAAGGAGGGGATGACACTGTTCAAAAGGAAATGTACTCATTACCTGACATGTAACTATATAACCCCTCTGTTCATCACCTTTACAATAAAAAGTAAAAAAATTAAAAAGATATAAAATATGAAAACAATTTCTTTTCCTAAACTGAGTTACTTTAGTGTTACAAGTTTTTTGGCTATTTCTCTAAGTATATCTAAATTTTAGAACTAGATTTGTTTTCAAGGAAACCAATGATAAAGATATTTTGAAACAAAGACCTAAGAAATGCATGCAGAAGAAGCTCTGCGTTTTATCTAATTTCAAACCAAGCATCAAATCAAACATTAAGAAGAGGGTGGGGGAGGATGTAGCTGAAGAGGTGGGAGGGAAGGGATGGTAGGGGAAAAACAAAGGAGGAGGCAACAATGCTTGATAAGAAATGTACTTGTTACCTTGCTTGTGTAACTGTAATCCCTTTGTACAGTATTTTCACAATAAAAAACAATTAAAATTTAAAAAAATTAAGAAGAAATGAAAACATCTAAATACTGCTATAAATGATGAAAATATCCAGCTCTCTAAAATACTATCAAATATGAGAAAGTCACTATGCACTTGACTTTTTAGCAATTTTAGTACTGGAAATGACATGTTTAAAATACAGAACTTTGCTGAATTCTCATTCATTGGGAGCCACAGTGTCACATTCTACTTGGCAACATCACAGATTTCGGTGTCCTGTAAAGACAGGGAGGAGAACATGCTCAAATGTAACTTGGCTAGCACTATCCTATAAATCACAAAGATGAGCTGGTGATACACCTTTAACTGCTTGGCAAGTTAATTAATTCAGACGGTGCTATTATAGTTTTCTGTTCATTTGACTTAGGACTGAGTTCTAGGTATAAGGTAAAATTATCAAGGGACTGCTTCAAGTATTCAAACACTTTCAAATATGAAGACCTTTACTACCAAGTATTGACAATAAAAACAACAAGAAGCTGATAATGATGAGTGTCTTAGGGCAAATTATCACTGGCCATCCTGTGTTTGTGAAAAGGAGGTTGTCTTAAGGTCCATGAGAACTCTATGAGAAGACTACAAGGAGAGTAGGAATAAAGATGTGACAATGGGTCACAGCTGCTTCTTTTTCTTAAAATATATGGAAGTTCCCTAGGGTATTAAACCACCATTCTATCTTTGACCTTTGTTAACGTTTGGTGGACAGTCACATGTGAAGAGGAAATGATCATCCTATATAATTGTAAAATCCAAGTTTTATTTCATATTATGTGCTGCTTTGCCACAGACCCAGGGCTAATCAATGATAGACGGAAACCTCTAAACTAGGCAAAATAGACCTTTTCACTGTATAAATGGATGATGTAAGTACTTCTTATGGTGAGGGGAAGCTAAGAGACTTGTATGATACATAGTTGCTGATCATTGTGTAACAAAGAAATATTTCATTACCTCAAAGGAGAATAGAACAACATACTGGAGTTGTGCCACTGCACAGGACTATAACAAAATACTATAAATTTAAATGTATAAAATTTAAATTTCTTTCAAATGTTTTGCATTTAAAGATGGAATGCTCTTCCAATTGAGAAAAGCATCTGCTTTATCTGTTACATTACCTTCATTTTCTGAAAGTTAAATTATCTTTATAAAATTAGACAATCCTCACAATGTCATTGAGTTATATTAAACTCTACTGTACACCTTTCAAGCAAAAAGTGTTGAAGATGTTCGACTTTAAAAAAAAAAAAGCATTATCTCTCCAAGTAGCTCCACTTTCTAAGTCAAAATAAATCTAGAATTTCTCATGTATGCTCACTCATGTTCTTAAAAAATAAAACTTATATAGTTGCCTGCTGCAAGGCAAGACTTTAAGAATGATGCAAAGAAAAGCTATTTTACTTTCAGGATTTTTTTTTTTCACTCACTGGAGTCTATTATATGATTACATGTCCATTGTTTAATTTAGAAATGAAGAGATGAGCAGACGTAGGAGCAGCAAAAAGTTTATGTTCATGAAAAGACCAGCAGATGTCAGCAAAAGCTAAGGTGTCACCAGAATTTTGCACGACCATGTTAAGCTGTTTCTAGCAAGATAACCATATTGCAAGGGGAAATCTCTAATTACCTAATTCAGTCAAGAAATCTTTGTTTTTCACATTATGTGAGAGGGATGTGAGAAGCCACGGTGAGATCTGATTTTTCCTAATAGAACAATTTATTTTTGTTTTTATTTTTGTCTGTCGTAGGGCTTGAACTCTGGGCCTGGACACTTTCCCTGAGCTTTTCAGCTCAAGGCCAATGCTCTACCACTTGAGCCACTTCCAGTTTTCTGGTGGTTTACCTGGGCTGGCTTTGAACGATGATTCTCAGATCTCAGCCTCCTGAGTAGCTAGGATTACAGGTGTGAGCCACTGGCGCCTGGCAACAGTACAAATTTTTGATGGACTAAAACTACTCCACCTTGTTACAATAAAAAATCTGCTTCACTATTATATTACCAAACTGAACTTCAGACAGGAATCTTGACTTTAACGGAATATTTCATTTTACCCAGGCATTCTAATACATGTTCAGGGGTTCTGCATACAGAGTATCTTTGGGTAGATATTTTGTCCTCACGGGTCTTGACTTCTAAAAAGAATATGAAAACTTACTAAATTTCTACTTTTTATTAATGAATCACATGTATGTACCTTTATGTGCACATTTCAAAATTTATTCACTAAAAATTCCTTGCTTGCCTACAAGCCAGGAAAAAAGTTTTAGAAGACTGTCAGGTTGTAGAACAGCTTGTTATACAGAATTAGATATGACTTTTTTAAAGGATCCTGTGCATTTCAAAGGATCCTATGCATTTCAAAGGTAAATAGCTATTTCTTTATTTGTATTTATAAGTCAGATGGATGACATCTATTTACATGCCTTTCTAACATCTGTAATTAAATTTTACAAGACCAATGTTAGTGGCCTTATTTAACTTCTCTTAATATGACTATCACAAAGCAGAAAGGTTTGTATAACCATTATCTAATTTTGAGATTAGTAAAATCTGGAAATAATTTAGCCACTTTGAATATTCACAAAAAACAAAGAGGATGTAAGTGACATCACTGTATTTTCTATAATTTTATTTTAAAAATAGCAAGTTAACCTGTATTTTCTTAAAATGCAGCCTTTAATCACAGCCCACTCTGCATCAGCTATACCTCTGTGAACATTCTGCATGCAGTTCAGTGCCCTACATGGGCACAAAGAATATCAGAAAAATTATGCAAAGTTCTTACTCTTGTAAAAACAAAACCACGGATCTAGACCATGCTAAAATGTAGCCATTTAAAAATTTGAAGCCACCAGAAGTTATTCTTATTTGTAGCAACAAGAAACAGTTCAGTTTTATTTATTTTCTTAATTACTAGTTCTAGGAACTTGAATTCAGGGGCCTTGCCCTGGCTAGCTCATGACTGCCAAACTGCCAGTTAAGCCACACCTCCAGACCAAATGGCTAATAGATGTTTCACTTTGCTGCCTGGGCTGGCTTTGAAACTTGATCCTTGAGGTCTCAGCCTCCTGAATAGCTAGGATTGACAAGTGGGAGGTATAAGAACTCAACCAATTCTTATTATTTTAATTGATTCCTCTGAAGAACATACACAATGTTCTAATTCAAACTTAAATGCAAAAGAAAAAAAAATGTTAACTAAGATCTGATGATCCAGAAAGTTCAGATCTAATTGGAGTGTGTAATTCCTATAACAAACTATTGCCTTAATTCTGAAAAAGTAACCAATCGAGCATGTGATTTGAATTTAAGTATATGAAGTTAACACATCTTTACTAGTGCTCAGCTGAAATACAGATGAAGGAAATGATAAGGCAATTGGACTTCTAAAAATCAGGCCAAAGAAAAATCACATTTAAGGCCAGGTGTCAAGGGTCATTCCTGCAATCATAGCTACTCACGAAGCTGAGATCTGAGGATCACTGAAGCCAGCCTTGGCAGGAAAGTCCATGAGACACTTATCTCTAATTAATTACCAAAAAGCTAGAAGTGGAGTTGTGCCTCAGTAATAGTGCACTAGCTCTGAGGAAGACAGTTCTGGGACAGCGCCCAAGTGCTGAGTTCAAGTTGAAGTATGAGCACCAAAAAAAGGTCACACTCAATTTTAAAGTTGAAAATTGCATTCTACTGAAGTAAAATTACACACCAAACAAAAATAAACAAATGCAAACCAAACGCAAAAACTTATCTTCAGCGGTCAAGTCAAACTCACTATAAATTTAGTTTTAAAAGCTATGTTTCAAATTACTTAAAGTTTTTCTTAAATAACTGAAGAATTATATTTAAAGGAAACAAAATGGTAACGATAATAGTCTACGGCAGGCAGAATTGTAAAAAAAAAAAAAAAGTAAAATGATACCATTCCCTCATCTAAATTCTTTATACTTAAAAAAAAATGCATCAACATTTTATGTGTAACGAGTGTTTCTCCATCTGTTTTTTTATTATCACTCTGATAAGGATTTTTTTAAAAAATGTTACCAGGGTTTGAACACAAAGCCTCACGCTCTCTCAGATTGCTTGCTTATGGCTCTACATCATCAGCCTGGCTTTTTGCTGGTTGTTGTGGAGATTCTAAGACTTTTCTGTTTCTAGGATTCTACTGCAAGGGGCTGGCTCTGAGTCTCCACCCTCTGAATCTCATCCCCCTGGGCAGCTAGCATTATGGGCATGAGCCACTGACTCTGATCTAAAAAGGAACATATTTTATACTCAATCCTACTCTATTATCCTGTATTAATTTTAATATCATAGATGCAATCTATATCCATTTATGTATGCATTGCATGGCTTTGTACTTACATAGAACTTTTTTGTAAGGACAAATTTCCACAAAGAGTACATAATGGTTTGCAGTAGTAAAATATTTTTATTGAAGAAAAATATATCTAAGCACTTAATTTCCAAAATAGTTTAACATTCACCTAGGCAGCTATATCAAATCAATTTGTTTTGTGCCCAGCTATGCAGGGGACCAAAAAAATGGCCATGTAAAGCAATCATAATAATCAATGAAGGAAACTGTTCCATGGCTTTTAATTATCTGTCAAAACATTAATACTTTATACAATTGTTTGTGCTTTCAATGCTGTGAAGTATTTCTGTACTCACAGTAAATACCCTTTAATGTGAAAGTCTATTCCCACCCCTAGGGGCATAGGTACCCTTTTCCTCAGTGTTGGTAGGGAAACATGCAAACCCACTTGTTACATTAACTCAGGCTTATGGCTGACTGCTAAGAAATGACTTCTCTAAATTTACATTGAAGCACATAAAACACTACTATACTAGTACATACTGAGGTGGCTTTTGCATCTTTGACAATCAGAAAGAGTGACAGAATTTTAGAAATGGAGGACCTTGAAAGAACCCGTAAGTTTGATACTACAAATTATCCAGCATGTTTATTATGAATGATCTCTCCTCCTTCGATTTCTATTTGCTCGTAGAGCCACTTGCGGTCACAGCGGCATTCAGCCCCACATTTGGTGGAGCCACAGGCGGGACACGCGTAGAAACATCCTAGGCAGTCTTCATCCAGGCAGTCACAGAGGTCCATCCCACTGAAAATCAGGAGGCCTTGGCTATCGTAGACCTTACTCTTCGCTGGTATCACTTGTCTATAAAATAACACACAACGAAGTCCATCTCAGAAATACATCATCCTTAAATACCTAATTAAAAATAAGGTCATAAAAATTTAAGAAGATAAAATATTTTGAATTAGGGATGAAGTTTTGCTGAAGTGGTACATAATATATCAGGCTCAGAGCATTGACATTCAATGAATGAACTGCATAGGACGAGAGTCAACCTAATTCTAAGTGTTAAGAGAAATCCTAAAAACCTGAAAACATCTCTTGAAGTTGATCTAAGAGTCAACCAAGAAAAGGACTTTGTCCCAAAACACTAATCCCTTCACTGCCTTTGAAAAGTAATTGCCATTAGAGTATAATACTACTTTGTACGTTTTTTGAACTATAATTAATCTGTTTCTTTAATTGCTTCTAAGTTTGGACTAAAAATATTCAAATTAGTCAATGGAAAATGGCATATGCACAAATGTTAAATGTATTATATTATTTGTTTATAGAAATGCTCAAAGTGTGTGGGGTGCGTGTGTACGTGCTTGTGTATGTGTGGTAAGGAGTTTTGAACTCAAAGCCTCAACTTGGGCAAAGCTCCTGGACCTAAGTTTTCTCAATCTTTGTATCTAATATACTAGAATATATGTAAAACATAAAAATAATCTTGAATTTTCATAACTTACAACTGCCACCCAGAGAACAGAGACATACCAACAATATACTGTTTTTCATTAAGTCAATTATTTTAAGGTATATACCTTCCAGTAATTTTAACTCTAATGACAAAAAATACTATCTTCTTCCTTTCATTTCAACATTCTTGAACAAGCCTTTAGAGTTGAAAGAGATGCCTTATAAAGCGTACATAATTAGTACTGAAGGCCTTTAGAGGTTTTTATTAATTATACATTTCCCAATCAAAGATGTCTACTCAGAACATTCAAACTGTACAAGGCAGATAATGGATCAATACAGATGTAAAACAGCAAATCCACATGTTAGTAACATACCTGTCTGAACCAGCAGTTGAACTCTTTGTAAGTCTCCTTTTTTCTCTTTTCCCAGTTTCCGGAGCAAATTCAGTTTGCTTCCCTGGGTTGGTAAACTGCAGTGACCTCAATGCTTTAGCAGTTCTTCCCTGAATAAAGGCAAAGAAATTAATCAGTCAAATCTTTATATAAGACAACAAATACCAAACTACTACCCACAATATTTCTTATTATTGGGGACAACTTGGAACACACGTAAAAAAAGGTCTGAGGAGCCCAAATGCAGGAATATCTAGTCCTCCTGGACAATAATCAAACTTTATGATTATTAGTAAGATTTTCATTATTTGAGCTACAATCTCTGGCACAGTAGAAGCAACAGAGGACTGGCATGGTGGAAATGACAATAGCTGTTGCCTCCATGGGAAAGATGACTAAAAACACGGCTGATTAACTTGAGGGTACATAACTAAGTTTCTTAGTAACAATTCTGGATTCTTAAGTTCCTGTCTTTAAGAGGACAAAGTAATACAGTTTCATGTTCTAAAACAATAAAAGTGGTATTTCTTTCTTTTTTTTTGGGGGGGGGTCCAGTTGTGGGGCCTGAACTCTGGGCCTGGGTGCTGTCCCTCAGCTCTTCAGCTCACAGCTAGCCCTCTACCACTTGAGCCACAGCGCCACTTCTGGTTTTATTCTTTTTGCTTATGTGGTGCTGAGGAATGGAACCCAGGGCCTCAGGCATGCAAGGCAAGCGCTCTACCACTGAGCCACCTTCCCAGCCCTATTTCTTTTTTTAATATATATTTTTTATTGTGAAGATACTGTAGAGGTTATAGTTACATGAGTAATCAGTACATTTCCTATCAAGCATTGTTACCCCCTCCTTTGTTTTTCGCCTACCATCCCTTCTCTCCCTACCTCCCCACCTCCTCTCTCCTTCCCCACCTCTCCCTACGGCCCTCCCACCCCGCCCCTAAAGTTGTAAAGTTCATTTTCAACATAGTGTCTTGTACCTCTCATTGTTACAATGGTTCAACCTGTACCTTTATTTCAGAATTTTATTATTTCCCTTCCCCTCCCCAAATTAGAAAAATGAGTAAGTGGTATTTCAGAATGCTTTCATATAGCTAAGGTCAAGATAAAGCAAATTTGGACAAGAAATACAGTAAAAAAGAACAGAGGATTAGATGAAGACATGTGAAATATGAGTCAAGTATTTATAACGAGCTACACATAACACTGGGTCCTAGAGATGTGCCTCAGAAAGGAAAACAAAAGGAACAGAGTATATATAACGTAAAATTTCAACTAACTTGTAATCTTGTTTATTAATATACCTGTGAAAGTCTAAAAATCCAAGCTGTGAGACCCTGAAAGGATTGGGAGTTTTGAATGCCTTCTCCCAATACACTCTCATAATGATGAGATCAATCACTCTTGGCTTAATGGGAACTCAGATTCCACCCTAAATTGTGTGGGAGACTCAGGGTAGACTTAGTTTATGTAAATTGTAGGCTGTTTACTGTTTAGCTATCCTTCCCAGTATGCAAAATATTGTCTCATGTTGAGGTTTGTACCTTACTTTCTTGCAAAAGACCAATAAAAACCTTGGTTAAGGGAATCTTAGGATCTGTTGCTGGAAGAAGGCTACAGGTCTCCCAGTACCCCAAACCTCAGTTCCACAGTCTGGTCTCCATTACTGTGTTGCTCCCAGTTGCCCCAGATTAAGGAGAATGCAGCGGGTTGTGGCATATAAAAAGGTAAAAAGTGATAAAACATTCCAGTGGCAAGAATTGTAAAATGACTGTAAGTACAATTATGAAAAGTGTACCTCTGATATTCTTTCTTATTCTACGTCAAGACCAGTTTCATAAAACCTTAAGTTGCTCCGATAAGCTAAAATGATCTGCATGTTAGCATGTGAAAGGAAAGATAGGTATAAAATATGTAATACATTTCACAATGTAAAAATATCTGCTCCTGACCACAGGGAGTCCTAAATTTAGTCTTGAATTCAGAACTAGACGCAAGTGAAACTTGTAAGCACTTAAAAATCTCAGATAACAATGTAGTGACAAAGAAGACTGAAATAAAAACCAATTATTCCAAGTCAGTTCTCTTATCTTCCTTTTAGTGTTCTAATAGTCTTTAATAAAAGGAAGAATTTTTCTTGCTATAGGGATGCTTGATGGCTTGCACATTCCATTTCATTACTTTGATGATCAGAAAAGAATCTAAGTTAGCTAGGCTCTAGCATTGTCAGAATGTTCTAACAGCCATCCTATGGTCCTATGAAGTTGTAGTTTGGAGTCGGGCATATTGTGTTTCTTTTCTCAAAATTACTTTATTACCCAACCTTGACTTTGTGTATATGAAAACATTTTGAAAAACAATTTCCTTTTTAAATTCACTGAATCCTAATAAATATAATAATGTATTTCTTAAAGTTAAAACAGAATTCCACATTTTCAACTAGAGACAATGATGAATATACATACATCCAATTCAGGTTTCCTTCTCTGTCGGTCGTCAGAATCAACATCCACACTTCCATTGATTATCTGGGTACATTTTGGACAAAGCTTCCAACCAGGTACGAGCTGTCTTCCAAATTTTGCACTCAGAAAAGTGGCATCATCTAAGTCAATTACATGCAAATTTTTTTTGGCTAGCTTTTTGTGTATGTTAAATGGGTCACAACATGACTTCTGCAAATCCTCAAATCTGTCAATGTAAATTTTTACATGATGAAAGCAAATTGTGTTGTTCCCAGAAAGTGTCATTCCAGTTCTAAGTTGAAGTAAAAGCATATCATTCGATGACAACTCTTGCAAAGTCTTGAAACCTGTATGACGAGTGTAGTAGGTTTTATGGCACTCATTTGTGGTACGAAGCTGGACTCCAACTGAACATGGGTCCATCATTCTTGATTCTCACAAATTTTCCTTGTTTTGTCTAGTGATCTCTCTTCAAGATCATGTGCTGATTACTCTAGAGAAAGATATTAAAGACAGATATGTTTTGTGAATTTTTAATTTGGAAAATAAAGTCTGATAAAATTCAACACTGCTTAAAACAAAAAACTCAGCAAGAGAGGAATAGAAAGGTGTTTAACAAAAACCTACAATAAATAGTATATTTTATCACCATATGTTAGATATGTAAGATGTAAAAGACGTAAAATCAGAACTATACAGAAATACTAGTTATGTCAATTCTTGTAGAAGACCATATTGAATGGTTCAAGGAGTGAAATATAAGGAATAAGAAGTACTATTTGAAAATATAAATATCTATGTAAGAAATACAAAAGGTGTAACAAACTAGCTGCAATAAAACAAGTAAGAGAGCTTAGCAGGATGTTGGAAATCAACAAAACACTTTGATACAAACCTTATAAATTACTGCAAGACCTTTATGGAGAAACTTATGAAACTGAAAAACAAAAAAGACAAATAAGTTAAGCTGTATATAATGGAAAGCCTGTTGACTATAAATATGTCAATTCACTGGAAATTCATCTACAAAATCAAAAATCAAAGCTCTTCCAATAAAAATCAAATCATATATTCTATACTCATTTAGTTGGAAGTTAGCAAGCTGATCTATGGAAAATGACAGAGGTCCAAGAAAAATCTTGCAGGGAAATAAACTATGATATTTGCTAGAAAGCTATTATAATTAAAATAGTTGTATTATGATGGTGTGCTATATGACATGTATTATTATAAATTAATGACTATTATACATCAATGTGGAATGGAACTTAATTAGCTAATCATATGGAAAGAAATCTCTTCTGTATAAACCAAAACCAAGTACAAATTAAACAACTACACATGGAAAGAAAAACTAAAAATGTTATTAAGGATTGTATAACAGGTGTCAGGAAAAGATCACTGAACAAGAAAACATAAGATATGAAACCTTAAGTCATATACTACACTACACATTTTGGTATAACTACAAACTATACAACTATTTTGGTAAAACTACACTTGAAAGGTAGTATCAGGATAAGTATCTTAAATATTGCAGGCAACTCTTACTTGTTCCCTATATGTTGACAGAAATGTAAACTGCTACAATTGCTTTTGACAATTTGTAACAAGTGGAAAAAGAACATATCCTGAAAGCTTGTACTTGGCCAGAGATGTTGGTATAGGAGCAATGTATATCCTAAGAGACATACAAGGGCTTTCCTGTTGTTTTTGTCAAGGAAAGATGAGAAGTAACCTAAAATTATAAAGGGTGCAAAATTTTGGGTTAATCATACAAGAAACTACCTAGCCACCTGAATGAATCACGAGTTGCCAGAGAAAATTTCAAATCCAACTATAAATGAAGAAAATTACCCAAGGAACTGCAGAAGATTTAACATATGAATACACAATAAAGAAGAGGAAAAAGAAGTGTAAGTACATCTAAGAAAAGTTTTATTTTCCCTGAGTTGTAGAAAAGTAAACCTTGGTAGCACATTCACACTACTTTATCTATTTGAAAGTTTTCAAGTAAACTAAAAACCAACCAACCAACAAAGAAACAACAACAACAAAAACCACATTAAGTTGAATTTTTAAGAGAAGATGCAATAAATATCACTGAATTCTGTATGGTGGTAGGGAATTACAAAATCTAGTCCCTGCATATTTATGCTCAGAAACTTTGTTTCTCGTTTAAAAAAAGTTAAAAAAATTAAATGTTACTGAACATTTTAACTTCTTTTTAGCAGTATTGGAGTGTAAATTCAGGGACTCTGGGTTGCAACACAAGTGCTCTATTACTTGAACTGTATTTGAGCTGGATTTGAGCTGAGATTCTCCTACCTCAGTCTTCTGAGTACCTGGAATTACAACTCTCAAGATAGTGCCTTGCTTTCTTAAAATTATTAATTTTTTGCCCTGTTTGGTTTTAAATCATGATGTTCCTGTCTGCCTCCAAAAAGGCTTAAAGATTTCAGCCAACTAGAAAAAAAAAATTAGCAAACAAATACAGGTCCCAAACACATTAGATGAAATAGCTCATATTACAGTAATAGAGACCTTTTTACTTCAAGTAAAAAATTAGGTTAAAAGGAGGATATTCTTAGGAGGATCAGAAAGGAATAATAGCTATGTGTATCTGATCATTTAAAATAACATTTATGAAAATGAACTCCAGGAAATAGATACAAGAGGGTTTTTTTCTTTGTTGTTGCTTTAGTTGTCTTTTCCTTTTGTCTTGTTTGTTCATTTACCTGTCTTTGGGAAGGTAAGAAGGAGACACAAAAATGGTGGGACAAAGGGTGAACGAATGCAGCAGTGATACTCAGTAGATTCTGCATTGAAAATGAACTGCACAACTTGTGGGTGGGGACAGGAGAGAAAAACTGGGAGAGAGACAGGGTGATACTGTCCAAAAAGAAATGTACTTTACCAGACTTACATAACCGTAACTCATCTATACATCACTTTTACAATAACAATAAATATACTCATTTGAAAATAGGTTAAAATAAACTAATGAAGAGTAACCCAGAGATAATGGTAATAACAGCAAATTACATGTCAATCTTTCTGAACATAAATGGGAAACAATTCTTTATGGTCAATAACAAAGTACTCTTGTTACGAGTCTTCCAAGATGTGGATAAACAATATCTATAACACTAGGGATATTCAGAGAAACTGAACTGTGACCATTCTGCTGAAATTTCGTCTTTAAATACTAAATAAACTGAAACAAGATATCACTTGTTCCAAGTGCTACATATTCCTGGTAAATCTATACTACCTATAAGTTTTTAACACTGTGTTTTCTGCTTGAAAAACTGGACCATTTTTCTGCCTAGCAATGATTATTTATCCTCAAGACACCAACAGCATCTTTATCTATCTGCTGAAGCCTTACCTGGGAGCTACTGTAAAGAAAGGTTCTTCTATGTTTGCACAACTAAGTGTATTAAATTTCCTTACTGCCTTCAATATATAGAAGGCTGGTGCTACAAAATGTTATTTTCTCCATCAACCCATATATAAGAATAATGTCAAGGCCTTCCTTTTTTTGTAACTTTTTCTTACCTGTTTATTTTTTTTCTATTATATACTAAGCTCTGAGCAAAGAATTCCTTGGAGCCTGATTATAGTTGTGGCTTTTCTAATTAGCATAATACTTGTACTTAATAGTTAACATCTTTTGAATGAATCCATGTTCACATACTCCCAGAATCCCAAACCAACCAGGCAAATCTCCCTGGAATCAATGTGATTAGTTCCCAGTTTCCAGAAATGATTCCCAGCGCTACTACAATATGTCTATTGGTCAAAGGCATGATGCCTTTGGTTCATGTATACAACGAAATGACTTAAGTAAGGCTCAGGTGCTCATACCTGTAATCCTAGCCTCTCAGGAAGTTTAGATCTGAGGATGCCGGTTAAAAGCCAGCACAGGCAGAAAAATGTGTGAGAATCTCTCATCTCCAATTAATCACCAAAAAGCTGAAAGTGGAGAAGTGGCTCGAAGTGTTAAGAGCACAAGCTTCCCGCAGAAAAAGCTAAGTATCAGTTTCCAGGCCTTGTGTTCAAGCTCCAGTAATCTTTCCTCCTCCTCCACTCCGCTAAGAAAAGATTCAAACTGTTATGACTGCCTACTACGTTCATGGTATCAGGATATTAAAATATATATATATACACACATACATTTATGTATATATATACACATATGTATGCATACATATACACATACACACACATATGGCCTGGGGTCTCAACCAAACAGCTATGGGCCTAAGAGAAATCTTAATTTGAAAACTTAACAACGCGCTGGGCCTGTAATCCTAATAGTTACTCAGGATGCTGAGATCTGACATCGCAGTTGTGGTAGGAAAGTTCCTGAGACTCTTACCTCCAATTAACCACCCCAAACTGGGAAGTGGAGCTATCTATGGCTCAAGTGGTAGAGTGCTAGCAGCCTTGAGTGTGAAAGCTAAGGGACAGTAAGTACCAACACTCACACACACGACACACCAGAGACCTTACACACACATACACACACACGACACAGGGTCCGGAGACAGTACCAACACTCACACGACACACCAGAGACCTTACACACACACACACACACACACACACACACACACACACACACACACACACACACACACACACACACACACACACACGGTCCGGAGACCTGGCCACCGCCACCCGCCAGTGTGAGGCTAGGAGAGGATATCAAGTTACAGACGATTTCGTGTCAAGCACAGGAAAGGGACCGGCTCCCGTAGTATCTAGAGCACGTGCAAAGGCCCGAGGGGCGCCGGGGGTTCGAATCCCACCGCCGCAGACAACAATAGGAGAGGTCTCACGCCGCACACTCGGCTCCGGGCCGCGGAGGGCCAGGTCGCAGTCGGCCTTCCCCGGAGCCGGGTAGGGCTGGGGTGCCCGCGGCGGTGCCGGGGCCCGGGCCCGGGGGCCAGCGGCGGGGACGGGGAGGCGGAGGACCGCGGAGGCCGCGGAGGCCGCGGGAGGCGGAGGCCCGCGGAGGCCGCGGCTCTCAGCCCAGTGCTCCCCGCCCGGGTAGGCCTCCTCCGGGGATTCCGGGAGGTCCTCCCCGCTGCGGTTCCCTCCAGACCCAACACCCCAGCTCGACATCCCCAGCCCCTTCGCCGCGCCGATCCCCTTTCACCTGCGTTTTCAGCCGCCCCGGCCCCGCGACGCCTCCGACCCGCCGCCGACTCGGCGGCTCCGACCCGCTGCTCGGCGCTTACCACTGAGAGGACCCGGGGCGCGGCTAGCGCGGCGCCCTCGCTACCATAGAGACGAGCGGCTGCGAGGCCTAGAGTGGAGCCCAGGCCGCGGGCCCGGCGCCGGCGGCGTCGGCTGAGGCCGCCCCGTTGGCGGGAGCCGGCCAATGAGCCAAGATCCGGCTGCGGTTGCTTCACCCGGCCGTCTGGGGATTCGAGGTGGCATCCTGGCGCCAGGGAATTGGGAGCTCCCTGGAGACCCTCTGTTAGGCAAAGTTGCCACCGATGTGCTTTGCCTGTGCGTTGCCAGGTCTGAGCATGGAACCGTAAACGTCTGCGCCGCAGTATGCTGGAGGGGATTGACCGGGGTTCCAGGGACCCCAAGAAACGGACTTGTCCCAGCCTGGCGCTTACTTTGACTCAGAACGAGATCGTATTCTACAAACACACATCTCGTTGTAAATTATGAAAGCGGCTGTTACATTGTATAAAACTCTGGCTCCGGGAAGTTACTTGTAAACGTTTCTTAGGAAACAAATCTCTTGTAGCCTCACAAGTTAGGAGCTCATTCATTTTTAGAATTTATCTTTATTATATAGCATGTATTTTACTACCCATTGTTACATATTATTACAGGTCGTTATATAAGGTATATTTTGTTATACACATTTGTATTTTATTATACACATACGTATTGGTTGATTTCTCCAACTTTTTTCATTCAGCGCTGGTGCTTTACCACTTGAGCCAGAACTCCACTTTTGGCTTTTTGCTGGTGAATTAGAGATAATCTTCTAATGGACTTTTCTGCCCTGGCTAGCTTCAACCTCGGAGTGGAGAAATCCACTGAGGAACAGTCAAAGGTGACAAAGGAGTTTTATTAGCTGGCAGGAGAGTGCTTTGTCCTGAGCTAGCTCAGAACTGAGACTAGCTGTGCCTTCCAGTGGGTCAGGGTTTATAAAGGCCAGAACCACATGCAAGTGATAGTTTCACAAGCAAGCTGATTTACAGAAGCTCAAAGATCATTAGGAGTGGGGATATTTTTCAGCTGTGGTCAGAACCAGGCCGTTATCTGGAGGCGTCAGCCGGATAATTCAACTGAATAGCATCAAGCCTTGGCTCCCAGGAAACTCCCTTGTAGGTGAGTGCCACAGCCCTCAGGGGATGGCCGAAGTTCCTCAGCTCTAAGATTCCCCAGCCTTCTTGAGTGCCTGTTTCCCCAGGACCATCGTGTTCAGGAGTCATTTGGAAATCCTCCAGAGGTGAGTCTGGACAGGCCTGCATCTGGGGAGACTCAGCAGAAAGCTGGGCACAGTGTACTTCCTGGGACTTCCTTGGAAAGTCATTTGGATCGAGGGTCTGTGGCCACTTGTCTTATCTGTCTTTGGTGTTGTCTGCTTACCAACATGGGTCAGAGAGTCCAGGCTGCTGAGTGGGAGTGGCAGGCTCATTCAGCAGACTTGGGGTTCAGCTTGCTGAGTGGGAGGAGCAGGCCCACTGGGCTAACTGAGTCCTGGTAGGGATGAGCTGGGGGCCCACTAGGCCCCAACTCTGTCTTTGTTTTTTTTCTTGTTTTTAAATTGGTACCAGTTTTAAATGTGGATCCTTGTTTTTCATGTTTTGTTGTTTATTTGAACATCTCGGGGGGAATAAACGTTCCATTCTCTGGCTGGGCCTGGTCACAGGCTTTCTATGCCCCCCTCCCTGTATGGCAGCAGCCAAGAGGCAGGGTGTGTGCAGATGCAGGCCTGGTTTGGTCCTCTAGCAATCTGGCTAAAGACACAAGCCTCAGACTGTGCCCCTCCTTGCTGGAGGGGGCATAGATGGCTGTGGGTCCGGTTCAGACATTTGGCTTGTCCTGGCAGTGTAAAAAGTTGTAAAGTGCTCTTGTCTAAAACTGGATAAAATACAAAATGAGGCTAGCTTAATTTCAGGTGACCCCCCCCTCCTCCCAGCATCCCTCCAACTGAAGGTATTTAAAAGGCCAATTAGTATGTTAAAATGCCTTGTTAAACAACAGGTCCTGGAGAAATTAGGCTTATGCCCAAGATTCTAATAATTATATAAAGCAGTTTAAAAACCTAGCTCAGACCTATGACCTTACTTGGCAGGATATATATCTAATACTATCCTCCACCCTTACTGCTGAGGAAAAGGAAAGGGTGTGGATTACAGCCCAGGTGCATGCTGACGAAGCCCACCGCTTAGATATTGACTTTACAGTGGGAGCAACAGCTGTGCCTAGGGAAGAACCCAATTGGAATTGTCAACATAATGCTCATGGGAGGGAAAACAAAAATAGGATGATAACTTGCTTAGTGGCTGGCCTTCAAAAGGCAGCCTATCTCCCTGTTAATTATGACAAATTAAACCACATTACTCAAAGGCCCAATGAAAACCCAGCTGAATTTCTTGAACGCCTCACGGTAGCACTCTAGTGCTCTACTAAGCTAGACTCAGAGTCACCAGAGACCAAGAGTCACCAGAGGCCAAGATGGTTCTTAATACTCATTTTATTGTCCAGTCAGCCCCTGATATTAGGAAAAAGTTTAAAAGTCTGAGGATGGTCCTCAACTCCCTCAATGAGATCTGGTGAGCATGGCATTTAAGGTTTTTAATAATTGGAAAGATCAGGAGATTGCCGATAAGACTGCCTGTAAGAGGGAGAATTATCAAATCCTGACTGCTGCCATGTGGCCTCCTCCAAGAAGAGGCACCCAACATACGCTGCCTGGATCATGCTACAGATGTGGACAAGAAGGACACTGGGCAAAATTCTGCCCTTCACCATGATCACCACCTGGTCCCTGCCCAAAGTGTGGACAACAGGGACACTGGGGGATGGACTATCCACAAGGTAGGCCAGGCCCTCCCACCTCCGTCGACCTAGGCAGGAGGAGCCTGACCCACCGGAGATTCTCTGCTTGGCTACAGAATGATTGTGCCTGGGGCCGCTGGCTCCCAAGAACAGAACCATCACAGTGGAGGAGCCCAGGGTGTGATTCTATGTAGCCAGTAAGCTAGTATCCTTTGTCTTCGATACGGACAGGAACCAGTTTTTTTGGTGCTATCTCAACGTGCAGGCAAGACTTTTCCCTCCCAGATCTTGGTGGTGGGTGTTGATGACTACCTACCTGCGGGACCAGTACCATGTAAAATAGACTTTCCCTTTTTACACTCCTTCCTGATCTTACCCCACTGTTCTACTGCACTCCTAGGGAGGGACTTGCTCTCTAAATTTCAAGTCTCCCTCTCATTCCATGTCCCCAAACAGCCAACACCCATTCTGCTTTTATCCCTAGATGAACCTCCACTGTAACCTCCCAACTAGATCCTTTCCCCCTCCTTCCAGATCTTGTCAACCCTCTTATCCAGAATACTTTCACACCCACTATGGCTAGACACTATATTCCTGTCCTCATTAAAGACCCTACCCATTTCCCCACTACATCCCAATCCCCCATTTCCCTTAGACACAGGGATGCTTTAAAACCTGTCATCCTTTGCCTTCTTAAGCAAGGACTTCTGAGACCTATTAACTCCCCCTTTAATACCCCTATTCTGCCAGTAGTTAAACCTTATGGGACCTATCACCTAGTCCAGGACCTGTGCCTAACCCATATGCTCTCCTTTCACAGATACCACCTGGTACCATCCACTTCTCAGTGCTGGACCTCAAAGATGCATTTTTATTTTTACAATTCCCTTGCATACTGACTGTCAGGACCTCTTTGCTTTTACCTGGATGCACCCAGATACTTCCAGGGCACAACAGCTGACCTGGACAGTCCTCCCTCAGGGTTCTGAGACAGTCTCCATTGTTTTGGACAGGCTTTAGCAAAGGATCTCCTCTCTCTTCAGGTGTCTCCTAGTGTCATTCTTCAGTATGTGGATGATCTCTTGCTTTGCAGCCCTTCCTTCAAGTTGGCTCACCAACATAGGGCTGACCTCCTCAGTTTCCTATTGGCCTCCTTCCTGTTGGTTTCCCCTTCCAAGGCCCAGATAACAAATCCAGAGGTAACTCCTACAGAGAGAATGACTCTTGATAGAAAAGCCTACATCAAGTAGCTCTCTGTCCCACAGACCAAAGAGGACATTCTGTCTTTCCTGGGACTTGTGGGCTTCCTTCATATTTGGATACCTGATTTTGCTACCTTGGCAAAACCCCTTTATGAGGCAACCAAGGGCTCCCTACTAGAGCCCACTGACACCCCATTTAAGGTACTGAAGCAAGCGCTTGTTCAGGTCCCAGCACTGGCTCTACCCAACCTTAAGGAACCTTTATACTCTATGTCACTGGGAAGTGGGGAATTGGCCTTGGGGGTTCTTGGACAAAGGTCAGGTCCCTCTTTGGACCTGTGGCCTACCTCTCAAAACAACTAGACCCAACAGTAAAAGGCTGGCCAGTCTGCCTTCAAGCTTTGGCGGCAGCACAAAACTCACTTTTGGCCAGTTGACTACCGTTCACTCTCCCCACAGACTAAAGGACCTTTTATCTCATAAAGCCCTATCTTCCCTTTCCCCTTCCTGCCTGCAGCTGTTTCATGTTACTTTTATTGAAAATCCTGACTTCTCTCTGGAAAGCTGCTCCCCTCTCAATACAGCCACCTTGCTTCCATCCAACTCTAACTCTCTTTCCCATTCCCATACAGAGACCTTGGAAGAATTCATACACATTTTACAGGTATCTCAGAAACCCATCTTTCTGACCCGGAAGACACCTGGTACATCAATGGCAGTTTCCACACCTGCCTCCTCAAGCAGCTGAATTGTAGGTTATGCCATCATTAATGACTGCACCATTATTGAAAGCAGCCCTCTGCCCCCTGGTACTACTTCACAAAAGGCAGAACTTATAGCTTTAACTAGGGCCTTAACTCTAGCCAAGGGTCAGAGGATTAATATTTATACAGACTCAAAATATGCCTATCATATTCTCCATCCACATGCAGCTATCTGGAAGGAGCTTGGCTTCCTGTCCATGAAAGGGACCCCATTACTAATACCTCACTTATTCTTAAGCTCCTAGAAGCAGCTTCC